CCGAGGCCTGACTGGTATTCAGGGCTTTGCTCCATATCAGCTACGTATTTCTCCCAGATCTCTCTGCAAGAGAGGGGTAAGAATAGGAGATGGTAATTCCTCCATCCTGGCTATGGTGGGAAAATATTCCTGCCTGGTAATTCGCTCCTACTCAGCTCCTCTAGCAATATATAATCCAAATAGGGTTGAATGGAAAGGAGAAAATCAGAGATTAAAATCACTCCAAAAACAGCGAATGACTGTTAATTTTCCAGGCTGCAGCTTTGTTTCTAGGACAACAAAAGCAATCTCCTTTTCTATAATGTCTCTGAGATATAGAGATTAAAGTCAAAAGAATTGGTGGTTATTGAAATCTGAAAATCTCTAAATGTCTAACTATGCCTTGACAATGAATGCTCCCCAGGAGGTTCCGGAAAGAAAAACAAATATGCATTCTTATTAGCTAGACTTATACAAACAGAACCTCTGCCTCACTGGGAAGGCACACAGTGAATCGGGGAGGACCAAAAGACACCTCTCCCTTTCTTACACCAAAACTTCAATCTTACCATCACTTGGACTCAAGGAAGGATAGCACAATACCGTGTTAAGAATCCCAGAATGGACCTTGGAGATGAGTACTGGGAAGTACACGGCCCAAGGTCCTCTGGGCAAAGTGCCCACCCACTTAGCTGCTTGCTTGCTTTTGAAAGTGACCTTGTGACACAGCGATCCTTCTCACCATTCATGCGGCCAGTAGGCATCCTGGAGGTGGGCTGAACAGGCCAGTGTGCCCTCTCCTTGGGAAAGGAGGAGAGAGGAGGGAGTTGGGCACTTATCTCCCTGGAGATGTTATCTCCCAGGATGCCTGCAACCAAGGGGAATGCCATCTGACGTCAGCAAACACGCTTTCATCAGATGCGGTCCCTGGGCTGACAAGCAGTCCTCAGAGCATGGAGGAATTGCGCAGAGAAAGAATATTATGGATTTTGTTCCAAAGTTGTGGGATGTGAAAATAACAGCATATAACTTGTGCCCTATAATTTCCCTCCTTGTGTTGTCTCCTGCCTGAACTGCTGAGTCCTGAGGGAACAGCTCATCACCAACTTCAAAGTCCCATGGTTTGCGGTGCCATTTGCCTTCATTCCACTTGCGCTATTTCAGGGAAGTCTGTGCAACTGTATCAAACTGCCTGAAGCAGGAGCTCTTTGCTATTTTTCAACTTACACATCATTTTCTAAACAGATCATGAAAGAAGAAGAGCTCTTGAAACCTGAGACAAAAGCCCATTCTACAGATGAGAAAGTTGAGGCTCAGGTAGGCTGATGTCTCTGAGCTCAGTGCTATGTCCTCCATACTAAATGCCTCGGTCACAGCGAAGTTTCTCACAACAGCACTGTGCACCAACAAGCACAAATTACGTGTATACATTTCACAAATGTTACACAGTGTCATGAACAATGACGTGTACATGTTATTAAAGCAAAGTATTATCTTCATTACATCAGTGGAACCTAAGAAAAACAAGTTGTAGAACAGTATGTCTGCTTTAATCTCATTTCTGCTTCCCTTTCCTTAGTTAGAATAGCATTCTGTGTATGTGCTGCTGTGTGACTGTGTGCAGAAGCCCCCACATGCCTGTGTCCATACGCATAGGAAAGGTCAAGCGTCTGACCACCAAATAGTTAACAATGGATTCTCCTATGGTGGGAAACTTTCATTCTTTCATTTATTTGGCATTGCTACATGTTTTGCAATGAGTGTGCACTGCTTTTGTAATTTAAAAACAATGAGCAAGACATTATATTTGCTTTGTACTAAACAAGGGAGACAAGCCAGACACCATCAGGCACCATCTCATCCTCGCCATGGCTCTACGACATGGGACTCTGACAGTATCCCAGTGGGGGAACTGAGGCTTCAAGAGGACACGCAGATGTTAAGTGCAGAGCCTGAATGCAGGACTCTCAGCAGTAAAGACATACTCAGAGGAACCCTAAGAAGTCATTTCTGTCTCAGCAGCACTCAACAGAGAAAAGGGAGAGCATCTCTCAGCGAGATGCCAGCGGTTTGCCCTGAGCTGCTTCAAAGCAGAGAAAAGGCTGCTGGCTGCCGTGCTATTCCATCAAGGCTTGACTGCTGCCTGTGCTGAGGCTCCTTGCCCACATCCCCTTTCCTGGCCTGTCCCCCTGCTCCTCCATCCTCACCATTCTTGGCAATGATGCCTCGTGTGTGAATTCCATTAAAGGCTTGCTCACTGCTATTTTGGGCCATGCATTAGCACATGGGCTTTGGTTTGATGGGAGAAAGCCAGACACCACAGGATGGTGAAAAAATTACAATATCCCCCCCCCGGGAGTCCCAGAAACTTTCATGCCCGTTGCTCCTGGAAGACCTGAGAATTCTGGATGTGGAGAAATGGGGGGCAGGGGTAGAAAGGCATAGACATCTATGGCCTTTGAACTTGGCCGTTCCCTCCTCTTAGAATGGTCCCGTCAGCTGTCCACATGGCTTACTCCTTCAGGTCTCAACACAAATACGAAATCAGCAAGGTCTTCGCTGACCACTCTCCAACTACAGCTCCTCCTGCGCCACCTCCTGCTCTCCCTGAGCCTGCTGCTCCTTCACCACACTTGTCCTCTGACAAGCTGCACATGCACTTGTTTGCTTCCTGTTCCCCAGGACTCGAACGTAAGATCCCTAGAGGAAAAGAGCTGTTTTACTCACAGCTCTGCTCCTAATACCTACACGGGTGCCTGGCGTGCTACAGATGCACAGGAGATGAAAAGTACGAATGAATCCATGGAGGGGGGTAAGAACCACAGACAGAGAAATCGCGCAGCAGAGTCTAGTACCCCTTCCCCACAGACATCACCAGATTACAGAAACTTTCATACAACGACTTGAAAGATCAGAAAAGCATCACCCCCACTCCGAAGCTGTTTTGCATCTGAGGTCACACGTGGCATGAATGAGAAGCCCTTGGGAAACAAACATTCTAGGAAGTGGTGTGTGGTTAGAGTTCCGCTCGCTAACACTTGTTCAAAAACAAAAAGGTCCAACTTGGATGAAAATAGCAGGAAGCTGTCCCCCAAGGACACCTGGTGAGATCATGTTGCTTGGCTCTGTTGCTTCCCTTTCTGTCAGGTCTCCCTCCTTCTGCTGACTCAAGGAAGCCAGGAACCATAACCAGCTGCACGTGGTTCCCTGTGAAATAAGAGTGCTATTCCTGCAGTATCTATGGGGTATTGAGCAATAAAAATCACAGTAGTAGTTGACCATTCGCCCTGTGCCCTATAAACTCTTCATCTGCACCACTTCATTCAGGCCTCCTAACTGCTCTGCAACTCTAGACCTAAGCCAAGAATACCAATGATCCCAGTCTCCTCTCTCTTGTTTTCTTGCTGTGTGACCTTATATATTTATTCCTATCCCACTCTGAGTCAGTTTCTATATCTGTGCAACAGACTATTGCATTCAGTGTTTTCTAAGGCATCTTCCTACTCTAACACCCTATGAGCTCTTGCAAAAGTTCTAAAACAGGATGGAAGGACAGAGGTTCAAGTCCTGAGACCCATTTCCAAGGACTTGCCCATAATGACACCACCATCACTCGGGCTGACCAGAAGAGGATTAAAGTCTAGAGGCTCCATCGAAGGCCCAGTAGGTCAAATCAGACACAGGGGGCAACAGGAACATTTATACAGAGCTCAAGCTGGGATTCTAAAGCAGACCCCTGAGAAAGGCTGTCAAGAGCAGACCTCCTAAGGTACCACAGGAAGACAACCCAAAGAAGCAGCCAGCACAGGAGGGCCTGCATCCTCTGAGGACATGGCCAGCCAAGTTGGTTCTAGGGAAATGGAAAGAAATATTTCAGTAAAGCAGGAAAAGGCAGGTTTCATGTAGCAAAATGACAGCAATGTCCATCTTTCTTGCTTCCGAAGACTGTCATATAAGGTACTAGCAAAGGAAGAAAGATATAAGCAAAGCCCCCTGCATGCACCAGCTCCTGAGCTGCACTTTACCCACACCACGGACACTACTTATCCTCCTTCGCAAGTGTGCGAAGAGCCTAAATTTGGAGTAAATTCTAGTCTCTCTTTTCACCCAAGTCAAGCAGCCATTCCCATCCCTCTGGACGTGGGAAGGCCCTGCTCCATCCCTTTCTTGGCAGTGATGTATCTGATTACTCATCGGCTTCCAGGGGGTTTTGGAGACTGCCAAGAGGAGACAGGCAGCTCTCCAAGCCATGCACCCTTATCTGCGACATCTATGTGGGAGACAAAAGTGGAACTATTGGCGGAGTCCTTCAGCCAAGCAAGAAGAGCCTCTTATCAGCCAGGCAACCAGGAATAGCTGAAGAATGAGCAACACACATGGCCCTGCGCCGTGCCTACCTACCTCCTCAGTGACGCGAGCCACGGCACAACCACAGCCAGCAGCAAATCAGTGCGGAGGTATCTCTGGCCAGACCATTGCCCAAGATGTATGAGATTAAGCAGATGGAGGAGCTGGGCCCACTGAAGCCAGGAGACTGCGAACAGTGCCCCTCTTGGCCAAGTCTTGGATTTGGCTGACCCCGGACAGATGGAACAATTAGGATGTGAGGTGCCAAGTCCCAGTGCGCTCTGTTTGCCTCTCTCCTCTCTGCTGTTTTCCTCTAATCGCTTTCACTTCCTGCCCTGTGCTGGGCTGGAGCAGTACAGCTGCATCCAGGCTCTTCCCCTCCCTAACTTCGCACACACACACACCCACACCCGTGTGCTGCTGTGAACTCCAAGAGGCACGGGAAGTGCAGCTTAAGGAAACTTAAGCATGATGTCAAACAGTCCGATAACTTCACAGCAAATAAGAGGCTGTGGGAAAACTCCCGCTCTGCAGGATACTCCCTCAGAGGGAACAGGGATTGAGCGCTTGGAACCACTCTGCTGAATGCTTCCTTCCAAACAGCGACACCTCCCTGTCTCCAGCACTAACACTGAAGTTAACAGTGTTCATCCCAGGCGAAGGAATCCACTTACTCATTTTTCTCCAGATCCAGGATCAGTTCTTGCCCCTCAGCCGTTACCCTGAGCTCAGCTCTGATGGGATGCTAAAAGCAACAAGAAAAGAAAGTCAGTTTCTAAAAGTAGGGACACAGGCTGCCCAGGAAGAGCATGGGATTTAGCAGGGTTCTCGTACAGGGACCCACAGGAAGGAAGCAAGAAAAGGTCAATTGCATTTCCAGCCCAGACCTGAAATGGCCTCAGTCCCAGAATGACCCAAATCCTTCCCCCATCTGCTTTCTCCTGAGAAGCAAAAGAAAGCAACTCCAGGCTGAGATGTGGTGGAAATGCAGACCTGTAGTCTGATAAAGGGAAACACAGGAAGATGTGATTTCCAACAGTAAATTTCCCAGGGGTCAGACCTGGATTCAAGGGCTAGCTCTGACACCAGCACTTTGTGAACTTGGACGTGATACCAATCCTTACTACATCTTTGTTTCCTCTTTTATAATAAAGCGATAACAATAATCAAACTTATGAGGGTTTCACAAGGATTAAATGAGATAATGAATGTAAACAGAGGAGCGCGGTGCCTCCTCACACCCTCAGCACATTGGTGGACTCCCTTGACAGCAGGATCTTATTTATTTTGGCCATCAACTTGGAAACCCCCATCAGCTCAGAGGCCACAACAAAAAAGCACCTCAAATTGAGGTTTCAGAAACCCAAAAATAGATATATTTTATACATGAGCAGTTTGCTAGTAGCCACAGGGGCTACTTCCCCACAGTACAACATTTAAAATGTACAAATGGCCAATGAGTGTGAAGAACACGTTCACCACCACAGGTGTATCATACACTGCACCTTCCAAAAAGCAACAATATAAAAGAGATACCTTAAACATAATCAAAGGGACAAAGATTATTAAAAACCATAAATCACAACACAATGGAGCATGCCATATCATGGGCACGCTCACCCCCTACCTGATCATTTAAACTGAAACCAATTCTCTCAAAAATAATTTTGACAATACAGAATAGAAATTTTTAAATATTTAGACCCTTTGACTCAAGACTGTCTGAAGAAGGGCCGGGAATATAGCTCAGTGGTGAAGCTCCTGCCTGGCAAGCGCAAGACCCTGAGTTCGATTCCTAGTACAAAAAAACAAAAAAAAGACTGTCTGAAGTGAACAAACAGAAGCATAGGCAGAGATTTGGTCACAGAAGCTATTACTTATAATGATAAATAATGAAACAAAACCTAAATACCCCCAAATAAAAGAATGATTAAACCATGATTCATTTACTGTATCTGACAGAACACTAGACAGTCATTAAAAACAGTGTCTTTAATTTTTAAATGATTGAGAAAGTAGACACAATAAGCATTAGATAAGCTGGGCCTGCTGGCACACGTCTATACTCCCAGTGGGAGGCTGAGGCAGGAGGGTTACCATGAGTTCGAGGCTAGCCTGGGCTAAACAGTGAGTTCAAAGCCAGTCTGAACTACATGGCAAGATCCTATAAATAAATAAATAATAAAGGCTCAAAATATAACACTGTAGTTTTTATTTGAAGGGAAAACTATACAGAGAAATAAATTTCAAGTTTACGTAGTTACTCTAGGTAGTAGGAATATAAATTAATTTTATCTTCTTTTGCACATCTTTCTATATTCTTATCATTTTTATTATTTATGAAAAGGACTTTGATTTCCTTTTATTTTATTACTGTGGAAAATTTTAAATAAATTTAAAATAATAATAAGCCAATTCATAATAAGCCTGCACACTTTGATAATTCAAGTTAAAGCTATGAAACTTCTTTTAAAGGAAGCAAACATTGACCTTAGAAAGTTTACATTTTTTTTTTTTTTTTTGGTTTTTCTCTGGTACTGGGAACTGAACTCACGACCTTGCACTTGCCAGGCAGGCGCTTTTGCCGCTGAGCTAAATCCCCAGCCCGAAAGTTTACAAATTTAAAACAGCATAGATTCTTCTCCAGTGTGGGCTAAGTAAGATTTCTCTAAGTGGGAACCAAGGAACTGATAAATTCTTGAAACCTAAGCTGGTGCCCTTTCTGTCTTGCTGCCAACCTCACTCATCCAGACCTGTGCATCCTGGAGACTTCCAGGCAACCGAGGGTGCTGATGAGATGTGAGCATTCCAACCCAGACTTCTTGGGCAGTGCTGCCCACTCCCTAACTGGCCCTGTTCCCCGTCTTCAGAAGGAACATTTCATGGAGCTGGGTCAGATGTTTGCCCAGACACTGTCACTAAGAGATGCACTTTTGGTTTCTGATGCCCTGATTTAGCTCTGCCAACACCTAGTCTAATCATGGGTCCTTTGCATTTTATTTTGGGAAGTTCTGGGGCAAGGGCCTTGCCCAGTCACACTGAGCACCCGGAACACAGCCCCAAGAAGGCATCTGAGAAAGCGCACAGCAGCAGAGCAAGAGGTAGGTAGCCGTGTGACAGCCCACATATCACAGCACTGTCACCTGTCCCCCTAAGGGACACAGTTGTAACATGAACACGAATACTACTTTTTAGATGAGCAATCCAAAAATAATGATCCCTGTTCTGGAAGACGGGCAGACTCTAATACTTAAAGTAAGACAGACACTCCTTGCTTCCAGGGGATGATACAAGTAAAAAATTAAACTGCACTTTAAGGGTCTAGGGAGCTTCCCTGGCCAGTTCTGCTTAGTAGCTTTCTCTTATAAGCCCAGCTCTGGCCTAGGAAGGGGTAACTCTCCATTCATCCATCCCCCGGCAGGGTGAAAAGTCCTTTCTCTCTCCGACTAGATTAAATAAATAGTTCCACAGGTTATTGGAAATCTATCCTGTATCTTTGCATCCCCTTACAGTCTAACATTAAATATATTGTGTTTAATTCATATTGATACTGAATTAATTACATAAATGAGAACAGTGACCTAAGAGAATTCCAGCTCGCTCTCTGTCCCTCTCCCTCCCTCCCTCCTCTCTCCTTCCTTCTCTCGTTCTCTTTCTGTCTCTCTCTCTCTCTCATTCAGCAAATATTTATGGTGCCAGGCACTTTGCTGAGTATTCCTAATAAATACAGTGACCCATGCTCTGAGCAGACAATTGTTGGGAACAAAGACAGGATCTAGTCCTCTGCTTTGTTTCTCAGGCCCTTCCTGAGGATACCAGGCATCCCACATCTGGAGGGAACAAAGCAGCCTCTATAAAAAGTACCAGATCCATTCCTCAGGCAATAATGGTAAGGTGAACTATTCAAGATCCGAATTTTTAAAAATAATCTGCTCCGGGATGGCCATCTATTAATCTGTCTAGACCTTTCCTGAAGCTATTTTCAGCCTTTCCCTGATAAAATGAGTTCCATGCATGTATCACCTTCAGGTGCAAATCTTCCTCGCTTTCTTTGCCCTGCAATTTTCTCTGCAGGTTCCCTTAGTAAACCCAAGTTGGAGTATGAGGGGATTTGTCCGCATTACTCTTATCTTAAAGAATTCTGAGCATTCCTCCTTTCCATTCATCTTTCCAGGCTGAAAAGTCACAGTATCTGAAGTCTTTCCTGACATATCTCCCGCTCTAATCTTGCTCCTATGTGTATCCAATAAATCACAGGCCATTTGAACCTAAAGAGACTTTTGAAACCAGCCCCTCTCCCCAGCTCTCTTCATCCTTATTCCCTTTCAGACTTATTTTATAAATGAATAAAAAACAATTATTTAAAGTGGAAGGTCACATAGCATGCCAACAATCGCTTCTCTCTCCTAGCATCACTTGAGCAGCAAAAACAAGAACTAGAAAGAATACCTCAGTCACGCATAGTTCCTGCCTACAAGAACAGAATAATGTTTTCAGTTCTGTTCCTGGGTAAAGCCTGTGCATTTTTCTGGTGTTCTGGCCCAAGGAGCCTACAGGATTTTAAGATATATTAAAAATAATTTAGATTATACTTTTTCTCTCCAATTACATTATCTTATCAATAAAATGAAGCATGTATTGTGTACCATAATAATAGCAAATACAATATTTAATAAATTCCAATCAAAAGTGATGTTTGTGACACCTTCACATTTGTAATTAGTTGTGTCAGGATTAATGTGCGTTTTCAGTTTCTCAACCAATAGCATTTGGAATGTTCTAGGTGTTCATTATATACTGAAGGAAAGCCCATCTGAGGTGTCCAAAACCATCCAAAGAGGGTAGAGCAAGAGAGAAACAGAACTATTGGAGACAGCTGGGCCTCTGGAAAAGCCTTGAAAGGGAGACCCAAGCCTCACAGATCCCAGTTCTCAACTCTGGCCTCTGAAAAGGAGAGCTTGAGTCTTACCTTTCCACTCCCGGGGCTTTCTGAAGTCTTCCACTGAGGTATTACGAGTTCATGCTGTGGCCAGGGGCTGCCTCCCTCACTTCCTCCTGCCAATACAAAACATACACCATGGTAACCCCAGACCTCTGCGTCCCATGCACTTTCTGCTGCAACTACTGTCACCCAAAAAGAACTGTCCACAGGATCGTCCCGTGACCTGCTTGTTTCTAGGAGCTTGGTACGTACTATGGGCCACTAACACGTATTCTTCCAGGTGTAAGTGATAAACTATAAGTGGGACAAACAAGGTGTCTGTACCTGCCAAGGTTACCTTCGGAGGTGAGAGACAGAAAATCAACATTCTCAGGTGGTGCTAAATGACCTGCAAAAAGTAAGAGAGGGCCATAGTAAGTGGCAGAGGGTGCCTATTTTGAGACAAGATGATCAGCAAAGATGACACATAATCAAGACCTAAGGGTCCAGCAGAAGGCACCATGCAAAGATCGGGAACAGCAGTCCGGCTGGAGGCATCGGAGGGGCAATGCTGAGCAGAAGTGCACTTCACCTAAGGGAGAAGCAGAAGCTAGAATCAAGTAAGTGAGAGAGAAAGACAGAAATGTAGTCAACAAGACAGCTCTGGGTCTGATAATGCAGAAGCCATGGAAAGTGTCTGGACTTTATTATAAATAGACCTGGAAGGCATTGGACTTCTAAACGCAAAGTAATACGATCTGTATCAGGCTGAGTGGAGAATGGGGGAGGGTGGAGAGGGAGAGCAGAGAGCAGGAAGGCAGGGCTGCAAGCTCGCAGGAGCCCTGACGAGATAGGACAGTGGCTCAGACTAGAATGACATCAGCAGAGAGGAATGAAGTAGTAGAATTCTGGATATATTCTGGAGATTCAGCCCCCGGTGAGCCTCAGTTTCTCATAGAAGATGATGACACTCACTTGCCCACTTCCCAGTGTTCCTGGAGAATAGTATGACATTGCTTCCTACCCGCAAGGCATTGTTACATCAACATGAGGTTCCTAATGGCAAGTGTGCATTTGTATTTCCCTTCCTGCTCTCCAGACCACTCTCACCATCCTCATGGCAACCTGGGGAAACAGGTAGTAGTGCTTCTATTGTACAAGAAAGGGACTTGAAACCACAGAAGGAACTTGTTCAAGGCAGTGCAGACCATCTTAATCGAATGAGAATTTCCTAAGACCAAAGCAAATCAGCCTCCACAGGAGTAGGTCAGATTCAAAGGATGTCTGGGGTTAGATCTGAGGAGTCCAAATTCTATTATTTCTAAACCAAGCATATCAGTCACATGGACTGTAATGAGTCATATAAAAGATAGCTGTCATTGTTCTGTTAGAACGCTATGATGGTGATAATTAACTTTCCTTTTAGATGACTGACATAGGTATTTGCAGTCAAAACATATCCTAAAAACAATCTCATTAGACCAACATTTTGTAAACTGGTAAAAACCAAATGCAGTGCATTTATTTATCTACCAAATATGTTCCATGTTTTCTATACATGAAGTGCTACACTAGGAGCTTAATACTCATGGGGGAACGAGACAGACATAGTCCCTGCCCTCGTGGTTCTGATGAGTCTAGACTCTTTTAAACAAAAAGGGATTATATATAACATTTCATGGAATATTTAAAGAAATTACATAGGGTGATCAAGAAAAAACAAAAAGTAATCTGGAGTCTCAACCGTGGAGGATCATACAGTACATTTAAGAGAAAAATGTTTGAAAGTTGGAAATGGACGAGGGACAAATAGAATGTCTTTTCAGGAGTACTGTTTCACAGCCTTCACATGCGTTATTGACTTATCTGAGGGAACGTACCTTTGGCTTTTAATTTACTATTGACTGGAAACGTATACTGTCTGAAGTCATATATTAACTATAGATTTCTAGTGGACAGAGATTAAAACTTGTTTCAGGGTAGTGGAAAGATAACAAATAGCATCGTTCCCCACCACCACCACTTCTGTCTGACGCGGCCACAGGATTTTAGGTCCTTCTCCAATGCCTGCGCCGTCCTGACCCTCTAACCCTCCTTCCACCCAGCTGCGCCATTCCGATAGCTACCGCATCAGTGAAGAGAGGGAACCTTTGCCCCATTTTTGAGTCAAGTTTTTAACTTTTGAACATCCTACTTCTGCAGTTTCCCGATGGACTTTAAGAGCTGTTAAAACCATGAGTATAGAGAATGTGGTGATTTGGGAAATGCTTACCACGTGAAGTGCAAAATGCAAGATACAAAACTCTACCTGGGGTATGTTTCCAATTTTAATAACATATGTTTATAGAAACACAAGAAGACAAGAGGGGAAAAACAATCCAGAATATTAACAGCAACGATTAACTTAGGGATTGCAGGTAATTGTACTCCTTTTCCACTTTTCATTACCTGCAGCCACTCTACGGCGCCTAGTGGTCCCTGGGGACTCGGAAGGCGCCTAGTGGAGCACTAGCTCACTTTCCTTGCCTTTCCTCACGCTTTTCTCTTACACAAAACTGACTCCGGCCTCTTGCCGGATTCTGGAGAGATGAATAGAACCCGGTCCCTCTGTCTCAAAGAGCCACAGGTCACGGGAGAAAAGCTTCCTTCCCCCGGCTGGCTGTGAAGCCCCCGTGCCTCAGTTTCCCTCTCAGGAAGATTCGGGAATCGCCCTGAAGCTCGCAGGGTCCGAGCCAGCACGGCCTCCTGGCCCTCGGCGGCCCGGGGGAGCCTGCCCAGCCTCCACCGCGCCGAGCTCGCTTGGTTTGAAAACGCTTCACTGCTGGTCCCCGCACGTAGCGGTCTGAAGTCAGCCCCGCCTGTGCGCGGCCGAGCTAAGGCTACGCTTTCTGGAGTGACAATGACAGAGCCTGGGCACCGCCCCAGGGACAGTTCCTTACGCAGAATCGGCGGACAGCCCAGAAGATGGGCCCTGGAGACGGCGGTGTCTGGGAAACCAGTCTGGGAAACCGACTTCACCCAGCTTCCAAGCTGGAAGCTGGAGCCCCAGTCCCTGCGCTGCACCGAAGGAGGGCCCGAGGAGGCCGAGCGCGCGCAGGGCTCCGCGGAGTGGAAAGAGAGCCCTGCCTTCCCGTGCGGCGCGGACCTCCCTCTGCGGCGCGGCTGTGCACAAACCCGTTCTCTTTTGTGGGCTTCGGTTACCCAGCAGTGCCAAGGATGCGTCAGGCTTGATTTTCATTCAGAGCGTCCCGGCCAGCTCAGGGCTCCAAAGTGCAGAGGCAGAGATGCGCACTGAGCCACCCTGCCACGCTCCTGCTGCCTTCCGGGGCAGCTGGTTTTCCACCCCGCCAGCGCGCGGCCCGGAGCGCGGCCCCGAGAGCCGCTCCCCAGGGCGCTCGGGATGCTCCAGGCGCCAGCGCCGCGGAAGCCGGAGAGGATGGGCCAGGCAGAGCGGAGAGGAGCGACCGTGAGAACCGGAGCGATCGCAGAGGCGGACAGAGGAGCCGAAAACAGACGAAGGGGGAAGAGGGGACGCCAGCAAGCGAGGGCACTGGCTGCTCCCGGCGCGCTCCGAGTCCGGCGATCCCCGCCGCCGCCCGAGACGCGCGCCGTGGAAACAAAGCCCGGGCTGCAGGGCAGGGGCGGCCGGAGCGCAGGCCCAGGGACCCGGTCCCGGTCCCGGTCCCAGGCCACCCCGCCCACCCGCCGCGGTCCCCTGCTCCCGGGCACTTACTTCTCGTCCAGCCCGGCTCCCGCACCGCCAGCGGCCGCAGGGGCTGCAGGACGAGCGCCAGCAAGCACAGCCGGGCGGCGCCGGCGCCCCCCGACATCGTGGCTCCCCTCGCTCGGCTCACAACCGTGCCATGCCCGCCCCGGCGCGACCGCGGGGGTCGAGCGTCTGCAGCCCCACGGCCGCCTAAGAGCCCGCCGGCTCGGCTCCCGGCCCAATGCAGAGACGCCCCGCCCCGCCGCTGGGCTGGGCCTGGGGACGCAGGCGGAGAGGGGGCTGGGGGACCCGCCGGAGGAGCAGCGGGCGAAACCCCTGCGGGCCCGCCGGCTCCGGAGACCGGGACCACTCCAGGGACCGGGAGCTGGCGAGAAGGGGGCTCGGGCACCGGGGAGGGGAAACGTCACGGGTGGGTGCGACCCGGAGAGGACCAGGTTCCTAAGGGTTAAACCGGACTTTGGGTTAACCCAAGGTTTAACCTGAGGGTTAAAGGGGACCCTTTGCTCCCCAAGGGCCGCTTCACTCTGTCCAGCACTGTGCTAGTACTCCTGGGTGACAGACCACGCGTCTGTGCCATCCCCAGGGCCCACCGCGCTTGGAGGCCGGCGCGAAAGAGTTAACCCAACGCCCAGTCACGAAGCACTAAGTGCTGTATGGAGTTGTGTTTTTTTAAAAGCAGGGCCCAAATCCCAAGCCATTCCTTCTGTCTGAGAGGAGGGAGGAGCAGAGAAGATCGGAATCCCAGAGGACGGGACATCTGAGCTTGGCAGAGCAGAAATGGAACACAAGGGAAGAAACAGCCCGGACAAATACACTAGGGTGTGAAAGCCCATGGGCTGTGCGGGTGGGAAACCAGAATTCCCGGATAGTTAGGGCTTCAGGGGTTGGGATGGAAATAGTAGGTGAGCCCTGGGAGGAATAAAGACTATCACTTACTGAGGACTCGTTATCTCTAGAAGAAGAAAATTACGATGCCCCCTCCAGCTGCCATAATAAAATACCGCAGGCTGTATCTTAAAGAGCCGTTTATTGTGCTACAGTCCTGGAAGCCAGAAGTCCAACATCCAGGTGTCACCAGAGTTGGTTCCTGTGAGGCCTGTCTTCCTGCCTGTAGATGACTGTCCCCCACTGCGTCCTCACACGGCCTTTCCTCCGTGCGCAGACTGTGCGCTTCTGCTGAGTGGGACGGCCGCTTACCTTATGAACTCGTTTAACCTGTATTGCCTCCTCCCAGAACTCCATCTATAAATACATTCACATTGAGGGCTAGGGATTTCAACGTATGAGTCTGGGGAGACACAATTTAGTCCATCACGTTCCACTCCCCTCCCCCAAATTCATGTCCTTCTCACACGCAAAATACATTCACCTCATCACAAGACCCTCAAAACCCCCTCCAGCACCTATTCCTGATCCAGTCTCATCTAAAGATCAGCTAGGTCAGGTGCGGATAAGAAAACGTACCAATCATCCTGAGACAAATTTTCTCTCCACCTGTGAAGCCCAGTGAGTTCCGTGCTTCCAGATTACGGTCACGGGACATCCTGCTATTCCAAAGAGGAGAAAGGGAACAGAAGAATGGGATGACAGTTCCAGGAAGTCCAAAACCCAGAAAGGCCAAGTCCATTGTTTCTTAACGCTCTAAAATAAGGCTCTTAGCAGGATGGTCTGTCTTCCAGGTCCCCTGGCACAGCACTGTCACCCACGGCTCCAGCAGGGGCCTTGCCCTCACAGTTCAGCCCCTGAGGCACTGGACAGAAAGAGGAGAGGACCACACCTTCTCAAATAGCTTTGCACCCTCTGACCTGTGGCAGCCTTTGTGTCTCTGAAATGCCTTCAGGCTCACTCTCCCCTTTTCTTGAAGGATAAAGCAAGTTCACAGGTGAATAGCTCTCTGGTCCTGTCCTGTGGAACTCCAGAATTCTAAAAGCCTTCCTTTACTGTAGGCTTACTCTGATTCCTGTAGTCCAAAAGACTGTGTCTTAACTATTATAATCCTTTCTCCGCATGTCTGACTCGATGACAGTCCCATAGAGTGTTCAACCACACTCTTGGTGCTCTCTACACAAAAACCGAGACATACCTTCAACAATTTGCTTAGGAATCTCCATGGTTAAAAACATATGCAAGTTTGTCATGTGGTGACTTCTACTTTTCACAAAACACTAGAACACAATTCAGTCGTATCCTTTTATACTGTAGAAGAAGGATTACCTTTCCCCCATTTCCAGTAACATGTTCCTCATTACCAACAGAACCCTCACTAGACGCCTTTAACCTTGGAGGCTTAAGCCTGGGTCCAGCAGACCCATCCCTCACTTTTCTACTGTAAATTTGTATCTTTAGTGTTATAGTAACCAGCCTGCATCTCAGTAACTTTCCCTGAGGGATACAGGAAACAATTTATGTGTTTACCCACTTCATATGATGAATAGCAAATAGTGTGCACA